AGTTAGGAGTTAGACTAAGAATGTCATTGGTCGTCTATTGATGCAGGGCTTTACCTGCTAGTTTTACTATACCAACCATCTATTTCGTATTTCGTATTCTGTATTTCATATCTCTTATATTGCTGTTATTTTATTATGCATTTTTATGGTACTAATATATCGGCTCCTATTACCTTTTTGAGCTGAGGGTCTGCTGGAAACAGTCTCTCTACCCTTCGGGGTAGAGGTAAGGTCTGCGTACATATTACCCTTCCCAGAACCCATTTGTGTGATTATACTAGGTCGCTGTTGTTGTTGTTGTTGTATGAAAAGCAAAATGAAGGCTATTGTAAAGAAATTTAAAAAAGAAAATGAGAGATATTTAGTTGCAACTAACAGGAAGAGAAAAGAAAGAAGTAGTAGGGGAAGTTAAGAAGAAGTGAGGGCCCAAAGCCCAACACATAAAGGAGATAGGGACTAATAAGCAAGGGGAAAGATAAAAAAGAATGGCTAATAAACCCTGCCGCAGGAATCGATTTCAGGCCTACTGTAACTCATGTAACTCATTTCATACACAGGCCCACAATCAACCAACCCAATCCGTAGATGAACTAAGGGCGCCACCTCTGAGTTACAACAAACAGAAACTCCACAAAAATTACAGTGCAGGAAAAATTGAGAAGTAGTTGTTCTGATAGCTTAGCTAGTTTGCCGCTATAATTTGAAGGCAGAGGCGGATCCAGGATTTGAAGGTTGCGGGTGCCACTATACATATGTAGCATACTTACCACTAGCCACAAAGATTGAATAAGAAGAGCAGATTGATTCTGTTAGTTTTTGGTTAATTCAATTACGTCGTTTATACGCAAATAGACAATAAGTTCGGTTTTAGTTCAGTTTTTTATGCTTGATTTAATTGTATTCTAGAATAAAATTACAAATAATAATAATAATAATATTTCGTGAAAATATGCCCACAATTAGAAAATTTTCTTTAAAAGTAGCTTAATTACTATATATTCTTTGTTTGAGTTGATTAATTGATCACCGTTCTTGGATAAATTTTTCCAATTTAATTATCAAGTTATATGGCAATTGTTTCCAAACCAAAAGTTTCAAATTTTCAATCTATGAAAATATAACTCAAAACCTCTATTAATTATGATATTTTTTTTTCACAATCCATTAAATGATATTGCTCAAATCATACATATAAACTAATGTTGTATCGTTATAGAATAATAAAAAAAACTACATATTACCTAGAATCATTTTAAAATTATCCATCAAAATAGATTGCTCATAGAATAATGTATAATTATGAAAAGCAAAATGAAGGCTACTGTAAAGAAATTTTAAAAAGAAAATGAGAGATATTTAGTTGCAAATAACAGGAAGAGAAAAGAAAGTAGTAGGGGAAGTTAAGAAGAAGTGAGGGCCCAAGCCGCCGCAGGAATCGATCTCAGAACCATGAAAACCAACGCAAGATTTTAAGAGGTAGTGCTGGACCATTGCACCCACACGCCATTTCTGTAATACGGGTGCCAAGTTTTATATATATTTTGTTTATTTCACAGGTGTGAACATACTTACTAAGAATTTTTGCCGATGCGGGCGGGTGGCGTACCCCGTAGATCCGCCCCTGTTTGAAGGGCGTTCAACTTAGTAGCCTCTGTGAGTTTCTTTAGAGAAGCTAAATACTTATAACTGTTCTTGATATTTGTTCTTTATTCAATTCATTGCACTTTATTCTATCAGAAAATGGTACACGCAGTACTGTAGAGTGTTACGTAGAAACCCTTCAAATTTGTTAGCTATAGAGTTGGGATAACTTTTCCTTTGTATGATTATTTGGGTGCTCAACCTTTAGTTTTTACATCATGGGTTTTGGGTTATTACCAAAAAAATCTTCTTTCAACCAGATAAATGAATTGGGTTTATTTGAAAGGCAGATTTTTTATAGAAAAGAAAGAAGCTTTTGCAGAAAGTATATTGGTGCTTCTTCAGTAGTATTAATGGAAGATTCTGATTCTTGTTCAAATGGTGAAAGTGAAAGCAGTATGGAAAATGAAGCAGTAGTTGTTCCATTAAGAAAAATGTATAGTTGCAGAGGGCGAAAACTGTCCTCAGTTGTTGCAAGAATATGCAAGTCTTTGAGTTGGGAAGTTGCAAAAGATATTCCTTTTAGAAAAGCTATGAGGAAATATGGCTTTTCTCGTTCGATAAATGCATTTAATATGATTATTCATATTTTCGCGTACGCGAGGATGCATATGGAAGTCCATGCCTTGCTTAAAGACATTGTTTTCTACTTTCAGAAGGCTGGTTTTGACTTGTATAAGATATTCCATCTTTCTACTCTGCACACACCATATTGTGCAACAACTTCGGTTTTCGTGTCTGATGTACTTATCAAGGTGTTTTCTGCGAATAAAATGCTTGACTGTGCAATTGATGTTGTCACACAGGCAAGGAAATTTGGGCTTCAACCAAGTATTTATTCATGTAATTTTCTACTAAAATGCTTGGCAGAAGCAAGTATGAAGGAGCATCTTCTAAATTTATTTGAAGAAATGAAAAGCTTTGGGCCATTGCCTAATGTAAGGACCTACACAATCCTGATTAACTTTTACTGCAAAATCTATCAAGGGATAGAAGAAGCCAAAAAGATTCTTGAAGAAATGCAGAAAAGACAGATTAGTCCTTCTGCTGTTACATATAGTACATACATTGCTGGACTTTGTAGAGTTGGAGAGGCTGATTTTGCTCTGGACTTCATTCGGGATCTCAGAGATAACAACAAGCCACTGAATTGTTGCTGCTACAATGCTATTATTTGCAAATTTTGTGCTACAGGTGAAGTAAATAAAGCTTTAAGCATTTTTGGCGAAATGAAGAGTTTTGGAATTATACCAGATATCCATAGCTACAGCATTCTGATTGATGGATTCTGCAAAAGCCAGAACGTCGAGAAAGCTATAAAGTTAATTGAGGTGATGAAAGCTAATAACATAAAGCCTACCGTAGTCACTTATAGCTCACTTCTTAACGGATTCTGCAAAATTGGAGCGATGGAAATAGCTATTAAAATGTTTTATGAGCTTGAGAATTCTGGATACAAATATGATCAGACTGCTTACAGTATCTTAATAAATGGATTTTGTGCTCAAGGAAATCTCATTTCAGCCTATAAGCTACTGGTGGAGATGATCAACAATAATTTGGCTTCGGATGATTCACATTATAAGCGATTAATTCGTGGTTTCTGCCAGATGGACTCCTCTAATAAAATGAAGTATTTAAGTATGATGGTACAAGAAGGTAACTTGCCTGATACCATTACCTGCAATTTCATTGTCAATTGGTACTGTACTGAAGGGAGTGTGACAGAAGCTTTGCAACTGATTGATAGAATGGTAAACCAATGCATCACATCAAATAGGTATCTCTATAATGCAGTCATTAACAGGCTGTGCAAAGATGGAAAACCAGAAAAGGCTTTGGAAGTAATTCCAATAATGCTTAAAAGGAACGCATTGCATGTTGCAAGTTGTAACACTCTTATTGATGGTTTTGCGAAACAGTCCAATTTAAAAAAGGCTTATATGTTGCATGAGAAAATGCAAAAACTTAGGATTAGTCCTGACATCATCACGTGGACAATTCTTGTGAACATATTATGCATGACAGGACAAGTGGGAAAAGCCAATGAACTTCTTAGGGATATGATTATGATGGGATTGAATCCTGATACCATCTCTTATACCTCCATGATAGCTGGCTTTTGTAAAAATGGATATGTGAATGAGGCCTTCAAATTGTTCAAGAAAATGCCACATATGCCTTCTGTTGTTACTTATAATTGCCTCATTGATGGATGCTGCAAGGTAAATAGAGTGGATAAGGCTTTAATGTTGTATCGGAGAATGCAAAAAGATGGGGTTACTCCAGACATTGTCACGTGCACAATTCTTATTAAAGGATTATGCAAGAGGAGCAAAGTGGAAAAAGCCTATAAACTTTTCAGGGAAATGAGACCGGATCCTGATAAGGTCGCTTACACCTCCATGATCGACGGCTTATGTAAAATGAGATATGTGAGTGAGGCTTTCGAATTGTTTAAGGAAATGCCGGCGAATATGCCTTCTGTTGTTACCTATACTTGCCTGATTGATGGATTTTGCAAGGAAGGCCGAATGGACAAGGCAGAAATGTTGCTAGATGAAATGCGAAGACAGAATGTGTCTCCTGATGTCAAAACTTATAACATAATGATTTATGGATACAAAAGACGTGGACAATTGGATCTAGCTTATGATATGTTTTGGGAGATGATAGACGAAGGTATCTTGCCCGATGATGTTATCTTCAAAACCCTTAGGGCTGAAACAGATACCATGATGCCAAAATAAGACGGAATTTGCTAAGCTCAGTCCATAACATGAGCTGGCTTTTGCATGATATCAGTGAAAGTTTTACCTGGTTCACGCATCTCATCAGTTTTTCTTTGGAAGTGCTAACTGGTAGGCACTCCTCACCAACTCACTATTCTGTTTTGCATTTTGCATTTCTGTATATTTATCTCCTAATTGTTAAATATAGAATTGCTTTGCTGACCGAGGAAAGGATTTTGCTCCTCTCATTTTGGTTCTGCAGTTTATTCTTTCCCTTTTGGTTTGGGTTGTGGGGGGGGGGGGGGGTTATGTTTTGGTAAGTATCAAGAATGTAACTAATAGGCTACGTTTACTTTTTGGGACCATAATGTAAAGGGATCTCATAGTGTTTCAGATATTCGGATAAGGAAATGTACAAAAATTGATGGTGCAACATGTGTAGTTTGTTAAAACGAAGTGCTTTTGGTTATCGTGAATGTTTGCTAGATTATTCTCATGTAGAGAACATAAGATATCTCCCATTCTCTTTGTCAGTTCAAACTACACCTTGAAAGTTTCAGTCAGCTATCAAGAGCTGTAGGCTGCTAGGATATATCTTAAATAACCTTGTTAAATTTCTTCTGTTGTTTCATGGATTTCTTAATACTATAGGGAGAGTTGATGATCAGCTTTCTCATTGAATTCCAACTCCAAGTTGGTTGCAGACATAAAACCTGATGTGAGAGCTTTAATGCTGTAAGTTGCTGAAAAAGTTAGAAGGTCATTATGCTACAACTTTACAGAACGTTTACGGAATCCCAGATGGGGAAGAGCTGGGTTCAAGCTTTGCTAAGCTGAGTTTGGCTTTGGAAGCCCAATCAGCTGTCCGATTGGACATGGTAAGTTCTAGAATGAGTAGTTTGCTATATAAAATTAGTGTGTTTTATCTCTAAGAACTTGGAATACCATACTTCAAGCTATTTGGTGGACTGTCTGGCTTGAAAGAAACAATAGAATTTTTGAAGGCACATCGAGCAATATTCACAGCCTTAAACAAAGATGTATTTTTTTGTTAGCTTTTTGGTGCAATCTCTGAACATGATGTAGATGGAATGCTAGATACAATAGAGGGTTTGCACAACCTGTAATTATGCCTGATGCACTGGCGTAGTGCATAAATTTATAATATCTTTAATTACTTATAAAAAATAAAATAAAACATTAGTGTGTTTTAGGTACTGTCCTGAAATATTTGGTCATTGGCTCTCGAAACTTATAAATGTGTAAGCAAAGAGTGGTCATTTTTCATTCCAAAGAACACCGGTTTAGGATATCGGTTAACGTGATTTCAATTTACATTCCCGAGTAAAAAGGATAGAGAAGATTACTTACTGTGAGTATATTGGTTTATCTTGCTGAGATGCATAATTCAGAGCTACATGTGTTACTTCGATGAACTCATTAGCACATTTATTTTTTGGGGTTTAGATAGCCATATATTCCTGGATATGGTTATAAGTTGGAAGTTTCTGGGCTTTATTAATATTATTTCTTTCGATAAAGGAAATTTCTGGATTATTAGATCATTCTATTTTGAAAAAATAACCCTTCTCTGTGTTATATTTTATAACTTTAAAAACATAAGAAAGAGAAAACTAAAGAAAACCAGCATGTTCTAGTTATAACAACAACAACAACAACAAACCCAATAGCATGTTCTAGTTATAAAATTTGGAAAACCTTTACAAAACAAGAACTATTTGAAACTTAAATATCTATAGTTTATGTCTTATAAGTGAGCAGAAAGACTCTTTCTGATTGCTTCATTGCTCCACTTGTAGCTTTAAATTGAATGCCTATACGCAATAGAAGTTGCTTTTGGTCCAGCTAGTCTTTTTCATAAATTGAATTAATGTCTTAGGAAGCAAGAACTTGTGTTTCTCTAAGTTGCTCGGACACGGGTGCGGATGTCCGATACGAGTACGGATCTAGAGGTCGGATCCTTCGAGATGTAAATTCTAAGACTCGGGGATACAGATCCTAGTACGGATGTGCGGAGATCTGACTAAAAATAATACAAAAAAATAAAAATATCTCTAAATTACGAGAAATTTTGTGGAATACTTACGTATAGTGATACACGATTATTAGAAGAGCAGTTAGTTGGGAAATTCAAAAGGTAGTTAAGGCAGTTAGTGGGAATTCAAAAAGTAGTTAGTGTTAGTTACAAGAATTAGTTGGAGTTGTTAGTTGGAAGAATCTGTTAGAAATCTATTAGAAGCTCGATCATTTCATACAATGTAATAGATATAAATACATTTGTAATCAACAAATTACATATGTGAAAAGATATACAGTTCCTATTCTACTCTGCTTTCTTCTTCTTCTTCTTCTTCTTCTTCTTTGATCTCCATTGCTGATAATCTCGAGCTTCTCCATAAGCTCCTGACTTAGCTGCTCAATCCTCGAACTCTTCACTGAGTTCCTGCAATTGAGCTATCATTGGTATCAGAGCTTTCGACCCTTGGAGTCATGGCAAAAGGTACTCGATCGACTGAAAACGCAACTGAAGAATCTGATTTGCGTGAATTGATGCAGAAATTAGTTGCAGATGTTGGGGCTTTAGCTGGAGAGGTCTCTAATCTGGACCAAACTGTTCTAGAACTCAAAGAACAATTGACTCATTCCGGAGAAAATCGAAGGGATAAGACTCCTATGCAACATGAAGGTGAACCATCTGATGAAAGGTCACCAAGAGAGAAGAGCCCTGCCAGTTATAACCATCACAATTGCAATTTCTCGAGGTGGTCGAGGATGGAATTCTTGAGGTTCAATGGTGAAGATCTGAAGTCATGGCTATTCAAAATTGAGCAATTCTTTTCCATGGAGAAGGTGCCTGCTGAAGAAAGAGTGGAGGTGGCTGCAATGCAGTTAGAAGGTGAAGCTATACAATGGCATCTAGTATTTATGAGGTATAGACAATATCTCAAACCAGCTACATGGACTGAGTATGTGATGGCAATGATGGAAAGATTTGGAGTCGACTTTGATGATCCTATGGAAGAAATTAAGAAGATTAGGCAAACTGGTACTGTCAAAGAGTACCAAGCTGTTTTTGAAAAAAACTCTCAAGAGTTAATCTGTCACAAGAGAATGCCATCAATTGTTTTCTTGGTGGACTGAAACATGAGTTGAATATTGCAGTAAAACTCACCAATCCCACTATCTTATCTCAGGTGTACAAAACTGCTAGGATTCAAGAGGCTTATTTAGCTGCTATTAGACAACCTTCATTAGTCAGCTATACACCAAGCAATGCTCCCAGAAAGATCATGGATCAGAGAAATAATAACAGATCACTGTTACCAACTCCTAGCCAAGGTAATGTTGTGACTTCTAAAGGATTCAGTAGAAGAACACTAAGTATAGAAGAAATGAATGAGAAAAGGGCAAAGGGGTTGTGCTACTTCTGCAATGAGAAGTATGTACTTGGGCATAAGTGTAAGAATGCCAAGCAGATATATGTATTGGAGTTAGAGGGAATGGAGGAGAATCATGACACAGAGGTGGAGGGTGAACTGATACTGCAAGAAGAAGAGTTCAATCAACTAGAACCAGCTCAACCCATAGAGCAAATGGAGATTTTCATCCATGCTCTAAATGGTTCTTTAGGCTACAGAACTCTGAAGGTGACCGGGTATCATGCTAAAAAGGCCTTGAATATACTGATTGATACGGGGAGTTCACATAATTTTATAGATCCTGATTTGGTTCATCACTTGGAATGTAAGATCAGATCAACTACTCCTCAAATGGTGGCTGCTGCTAATGGAAATATGATGGTGGACAGAATGTGTACCATCACATGGTTGTTGCAAGGTGCTGAGTTTTCAGCTGAATTCCTACTACTACCACTAGGCTCTTGTGGGGTAGTATTAGCAGTGCAATGGTTGCTGACTCTGGGAGATATAAAAATGAATTTCAAGAAGCTAACCATGGAGTTTTGGTACAGAGGAAAAAAGCATCTTCTGAGAGGAGCTGGCAATCAAGTCAAGGTTCAAGAAGCTGGAAGGATAGCCAAACATACAGGTAACACTTCTCAGTTATGTATGATTCAAGTAGTGCCTATGGAGAGTGTTGGAGAACAGTGGCATTCACATAAGGCTAAAGAGGAACCTAAAACAGATGTTAGACTAACTCAATTGTTATCTGAGTATTCTAAATTGTTTGAGGAACCTACTGAACTACCTCCTTCTAGAGGTGTATTTGACTATAGAATTGTGTTGCAAAGTGGCACTGAACCTGTGAATAAAAGACCCTATAGGTATCCTTCTGTGAAAAAGGATATCATTGAGGGACTAGTACAAAAGATGCTTGATCAAGGCATCATACAACCTAGCTGTAGTCCCTTTGCATCACCAGTGGTCTTGGTAGGGAAAAAGGATGGTACATGGAGACTGTGTGGACTATAGAGATCTGAACAAAACACTGTGAAGAACAAGTTTCCCATTCCAATTGTGGAAGACTTGTTAGATGAATTAGGGGGGTCCAGAATCTTTTCTAAGATAGACTTAAGGTCAGGCTACCATCAACTTAGAATGGCAAGGGGGGATGTGCCCAAGACTGCTTTCAGAACTCACTCGGGTCATTTTGAATACCTGGTTATGCCTTTTGGCCTCTCAAATGCTCCTGCAACTTTCCAAGGATTAATGAACTCTGTCTTTCACAAGTTTCTTAGGAAACATGTATTGGTTTTCTTTGATGATATCATAATCTACAGCAACACTATGGAAGATCATTTGATTCACCTAAAGATCTGTCTTTGTGGAGATGATGAAGCATCAATTATTTGCTAAAAGGAGCAAGTGCTTCTTTGGAGTCCACAAAATTGAATACCTAGGCCACTTTATTACAGCTGAAGAGTCTCTACTGATCCCCACAAAATAGAAGCTGTGAGGAATTGGCCTACACCAACCACTCTCAAACAGTTGAAAGGATTTCTAGGCCTAGCTGGATACTACAGGAGATTTATCAAAGGTTTTGGTGTGATTTGCAAACCATTAACTGAATTAACCAAGAAGAACAATTTCAAATGGTCAACAATTGCTGATGCAACCTTTGTTGAACTGAAGGAGGCCCTTACTCAGGCACCTGTCTTAGCTTTTCCTGATGCCAGCAAGGCATTCATTGTGGAGACTGATGCAAGTGGCTCTGGGATAGGAGCAATGCTCATGCAAGAAGGGCATCCAATAGCTTTTATTATCAAAGCTCTATCACCTAGACATGCTGCTTTATCTGTCTATGATAGGGAGCTATTAGCTGTTGTTCATGCAGTTTCTAAATGGTCACAATATCTGCTGGGATAGAAGTTTATTATAAGGACTGATCAGAAGGCTCTGAAGTTCCCTTATGGAGCAGAAACTGCACACTAATTCTCAACTGTTATGGTTAACAAAATTGATGCCTTTTGACTACTCTATAGAATACAAGAAAGGAGTGGAGAATAAAGTAGCTGATGCCCTTTCGAGGGTCACTGGTGCTGAACTATTAGCACTAATGCTATCACCTCATGACACTGATCTGTTCCAAAACATAGTATCCAGTTGGAATTCAGATTCTGAGTTTTAGCAACTTATTGCAGAACTTCAACATAATCCTGATACTCACAAACAGTACACCTGGACACAAGGCCAACTAAGGAGGAAGGGCAAACTGGTGATTGGGAAAGTTCCAGAACTAAGAAGGGAAATCATGACAGCTTGGCATGCTAGACCTCAAGGTGGTCACTCAGGGGTTGAAGCTACATTAAGGAGGTTGGTGACATTGTTTTACCGGAAGATATAAGGAAGGACATAAAGGAATTTGTCCAGAAATGTGATGTATGTCAAAGGAACAAATCAGACTTGGTTGCTTATCCAGGCCTATTGCAACCACTACCTATACCAGATGTAATTTGGTCACAGATCAACATGGATTTCATTGATGGGTTGCCCAAGTCAAATGGATGTGAAGTAATCTTAGTAGTGGTAGACATGCTAAGCAAATATGGTCATTTCATTCCACTCAAACATCCTTACACTGCTCAGTTAGTTGCTAAGTTTTTTCTTGATACAATAGTTAAGCTACATGGGATGCCTGATGCTATTACAACTGATAGAGATGCTGTTTTCTTGAGTTCATTCTGGCAGGAGCTATTCACACTCCAAGGAGTACAGTTGCACACCTCATCAGCCTATTACCCTCAATCTGATGGGCAGACTGAGGTCCTGAATAGAAGTCTTGAAACTTACTTGAGTTGCTACTGCAGTGAGGATGCTAACAACTGGTTTTCCTATTTACCAATGGCTGAATATTGGTATAACACTTGCTTCCATTCTGCCATTCAGACTACCCCTTATGAAGCATTATATGGCAGACCACCCCCCTTGCATTTACCATATATACCAGGAGAATCAGCCTCTGCTGAAGTATTGATCAATAGAGAACTCAAGCTATTACTGCTTAAACATCATCTGAGAAGAGCACAACTTAGGATGAAACAACAGGCAGATTCTCATAGAAGTGATAGACAATTTGAAGTTGGAGACTGGGTTTATTTGAAGGTCCAACCATACAAACAAGTAACTATTTCAAATCATTCCTCACACAACTTAGCTGCAAAATTTTATGGTCCATTTCAGATTATTAGAAGAATTGGTCCAGTGGCCTATACTCTATTGCTACCTGCTGGGGTGAAAAATCATCCTACAGTTCATGTGTCTTTGCTGAAAAAGTGCCATGAAGTGCCCTCACAAATCTCTTATCCCCCAGTTGTTGATTTGGCAAGCCCTTACTGCCCTGATCCTGAGTTGATTTTGCAAAGGAGGATGATCAAAAGAGGTAATAAGGCTGTTGCACAGGTTCTAGTCAAATGGCAAGGATTGCCTGCTGATGTTGCTACGTGGGAAATTGCTACTATTTTACAGACTAGATTTCCATTCTTTGATCCTTGTGGGCAAGGATCTTCTATTGGAAGGGAGTAATGATACACGATTATTAGAAGAGCAGTTAGTTGGGAAATTCAAAAGGTAGTTAAGGCAGTTAGTGGGAATTCAAAAAGTAGTTAGTGTTAGTTAGAGTTTGTTACAAGAGTTAGTTGGAGTTGTTAGTTGGAAGAATCTGTTAGAAATCTATTAGAAGCTCGATCATTTCATACAATGTAATAGATATAAATACATTTGTAATCAACAAGTTACATATGTGAAAAGATATACAATTCCTATTCTACTCTACTTTCTTCTTCTTCTTTGATCTCCATTGCTGATAATCTCGAGCTTCTCCATAAGCTCCTGACTTGGCTGCTCAATCCTCGAACTCTTCAGTGAGTTCCTGCAATTGAGCTATCATATAGCTTGTAAAGTGTGGATTTCTTTTTTATTCTCAAGTTGTAGATAAGTAAAGGATTGATTTCCTAGATAAGGCATGCTATTTTCTTCAAATTTACCCTAGTTTTGGTTCTGATTTCGGGAATCAAATTGTATCTCGTCTCGAATTTTTCCGTCCGTTGCGGTCAAAGTACTCAAAATTGTTTGACCAGATCCGGTACGGATCCCATACCCACACCTATACTAGTGTCGTGTCGACACAGGTGCGGCACCTAAACTGCCGTGTCGGAGCAACTTAGGTATTTTTTAATTTATGCAGTGATTTACTCTTCTGAAGTCTTTCTATTAGCATCGAGGTGAACATAGATAAAGCTATAGAATTATAGTCTATATTCGAGACATCTTTATGATCCCAATCAGTATTAACATTTGTGCAGATTAATAGTTCACTAGATTTCCTCACCAACCCCGAAGCTTGATATTGAAACTTGAAAGTTGAAACCTATCTATTTCTCAAGATCTGAAAGTTAATGAAAGTGGTGAGGAAATCTAGTGAATTATTAATGGACTTTGGTTCATTATTTTTGCTTTGCATTGCGCAGTTGCTGCCTCAATTTTACTTGACTAATACTTTCGTGATGGTAGGCTTGATGATTTAGAAGGTCATAGCTTATACCGACTTGGAAAAGAGGTGTGGGTCCTGTTGTCCTGGCCTGTTACTGCTGAGGATTGATATGAAGGGTTGTAAATGGAGATCTTCTCAATCAACAGAATTTCAACCGGAGTTATCTTCCACTGGTGAGTATATATGGTTGAGCTACTGTAGTGTATTTGTTAAGCTGGACTGAAAATGCTGTGATGGAACTTTGATTTAAAGAATTGTTTCTGGACTTGGTACTGACATTATACTCAAATATTAGCTACATTTCTAGTGCAGAACTCCAAGATGAATTCTTCGGACTCATACTACAGGTGGCATCAATCATAACTTATGAACACCTAAAAAACACTTTTTAATTGGGGAATCAATTAAATCTCTGATTGGTTCTACATTGTGTTGTTGCTGCAGAGGAAGAAAAGCTTTGGTTTTGTCATGTTTGTGGCCATATGTGGCATTACGCAGCTAATGTCTTTCGGTTCAGTCTGAATCAGTTGACGCCCTAAAGCAAAGAGGGAATTACCTAGATTAGCATTTTTGCAGTTCAGCAGCATCTAGATGGGGGCAAACAATCAAGAAACCTTTCAGGTTAATGGAGATGAGATCTTCCGTCTACTGATCGGATTGACAGTTACTTCTGCTGCGGTAATAATCACTTAGTTGATCGGGGATCTTTTGGAATACATGACAGAGGGTGGCTCAAGCCCGAATATCTGGAAGCTTGGAAACAGGTGGTTAGATCTGTTTTTGTTCGAATGAGTATATCAACGAGGCTGTCATGCAGATTGCAGTAGTGAAGCAAATGGGGGCATCAAGATTTGGGATTTGAGAAACACCTACTATTATCTTGGATGTAACTATGATTTAAGGTTACACTCTGAAGTTCCCTTTAGTGATGAAGTTACTTTGGTTCATCACTATTTTCTTGAAGAAATTTAAGAGGGTGAGAGAGAACAGAGTTGTCTCCTGCATGCATGCATCAATTTTAACTTGAGAATTACGTTGATGCATCAATTTTTTCAATGCAAATATTAATAGAATAAAACTAGGTATTGGTTTTATAACCACCATACGAGTTGCATAATTTGTGTTCACAATCGTACTTTCATTTTGGCTTTACGGTTTCAGATATATTTTCTATTCAATCGGATTCTCGGTTATGATAAAAACTGTTCTTAGTTTTTTCCCAGAAGTGACTATTCTTCATCCAAATCCAAAGATAATAAAAATGTCAGTAACTTTCCACAAATTTATTTCGAGTTCATTCTTAGTCCCCTTGAACACCATTCTTTCAACGGACAAGTGCTTGCTATTATCCCACCACAATAAGATTATTACACCGAGTATTACTCGGTTACCTTGGTCTTCTCCAGATTTCTTGACAGAATTATTGATGGAATGATTAATAATGAAATGAATGTCATGCAATGATTGATAATGAAGGAATTGTTATACACGTATTACTTATTTTAGGGGATTTTTGACTTTAAAGTTAATCATAGTATTTCTAATTGTATACAGTCAAAATCGGGCCTACCTGATTTTGCTGTTTGATCGAGACAAGGGAGTTGCATCGGGGGTAGCCTTGAAATAAATCAGACCCAAGCTCGAAGACGAGACATCAAGCCTAGAGATCGAAGCGTACGTTGAGACCGAGGCTAGCAACAATCGAGATCAAGTATGACTGACTTCGAAGGAGCACAATAACGGAATGACGAGAAATCAGTAACCGGTCGAAGATCACATCGTGAATCTCGGACGGATATCCGTGATTGGTCGAAGATCATGACGTGAATCTCGGAACGGACCAAATCAGAAGCGGTTAACTAGCTGTTTATACGATTTCCTTTTGTAATGAGAGTCATACCATAACAAGGTTTCCTCTACTATATAAAGATGAGTTCCAATCATTTGTAGGGCATCATGATCCACTGATAAAATATACATATACGCTGCTTTCTTTGTCTTACTTTCTGTTCATTACTGCTTGTTCCATCCGCTGCTATTCTTATTAACTAAGCTCGAGACTATCTCGAATCAAGGTCGAGGCATTGTTTGAAGACCAGTTTGATTTATTTTACTGTCCAATTTATCTATTTAATTCGTTGTTTATCAATTGGTGTTGGTTTAAATCACATATCCTTAAAACCACAATATAAATTTAATTGTTACTCAATTTTGAGGGTAAACACTAATATAAATATTTTTAGTTCATATTTTATCTCGCGTAACATAACATATAAATTTCTATCTAACTTGTTGCGGGTATTATTTAGTAATTTCAACCAAACAATGCATTATACATGCCGATTTTTTTTTTTCTTATGCAACGCTGCTTTGTTTACGGAGATAAGTTTTTGTTGTGGGATCAATTTGAATCATCGACCAGATTGATATTAATCATCGACCACAAATTACAAATATATTGAAAATAATGAGCGCTGTAAAATAATATGGGATCCGTGGCGCAATGGTAGCGCGTCTGACTCCAGATCAGAAGGTTGCGTGTTTGATTCACGTCGGGTTCAATACCTCCCGATTCTTAGGTACCCAATCCATTTTTTTCTTATTTTTTTTGTCTATATTTTTCCCTACAAGATTTACGGGGAACATCAAAGTGAGCCACAATATAGACATGAGCAACTATATACAGTATGTTATATTCAAAAAGTATTGAGGTGTAAGAATGGTTAGCAGAAACCTTAAGGAAAGCAGCTGTATGTTGATTTGTGTGGTGTCCAATTTTTGCGTGCACTTATTCTAGAAGAACCTGGTTCTTCTAAGTGTTCTTTATACTACTGTTACGGAAATAGTAAATGCGAAAAGTAAAGAACACAAGTACTTTTACGTGGAAAATATCCGGCTCAAAAGGTAAAAGCCCACGACCTACTACTCACGACCTATTACCCAGTAGGATTTTTCTTAACACTTCACTAAATCACTGAGCCAAAACTGCATTTACAAAACTCTTTGTAAACCTAAGGATTAACTCTAATCCCGTTGTGGCAACCAGTCTCTAACTGTTGTGACAACTTCAAGTTAACTCTAACTTGAATACTTAGAGTACCTAATACAATTGCTTCTAAATAAAGTTGAAAGGTACAAATTGAAAACACTTACTACAATTGAACTAGAATAAAAGATAGACGCTTGGAACTGGTTCTTCTATCTGGTTCATGTAGCTTTAGGTTCGCACACTTGAATCACACAAGAATTGTTTGCAAAATGCCTTGCTATTTTGCTCCCAACTCACGTTTAACTTCAGCGTTTGTGTGTTTTTGTAAAATGAGAACATCCTGCAATATATAGAGTTAGTAGAATGGGGAATAACTAGAGTTCTAATGCTACTCTTCCTTGGTGGAAGAGTTCTAGTTATCTTCAACTTCTAACTCCTCTCTTATCTTGGATAAAGTTCTCTTCGAGTAAGGAGTTCTTCTCCTTATCATTTATGCAACCTTTTCGATCAGGAGATATCAGATATGACAACTTAAGCTTATCTCCTTCACGTGCATCCCTTATGCTGGAATCTGCCCGTGTCTGTATACATTGTGTATGGACCTGGTTCATGCACAAGTTTCTTTGTCAATCATCGAAACAAAACTTTACTTGGGCCAACAAATTTTCCCTTTTTAATGATGGCAAACTCTGTGCTTTTCATAAGCATAGGCCCTGTATCAACTCAGCTCAACACCAACACAAGGTTAGATTATATTCATTTTAAAGTCACTAATCATCAAGGACCAGGTTTATTAGGTTATAAACATCACAGTCCAATGTAAAAACCACAACCTCAATGTAAAAAGCACAACCTATCTTCCCCCTTTTGGCATCATCGAAAAGTTGTATAATTATATTAAATAACCAGATTTTAACAGAAATTACTCATGGCCACTGGGCTACTTCAAATGCAATCATGGAGTCAAGCATCATTTATAAATCTAATGATATTAGACATTTAAGAAGCATCAACAAATAGTTAGAGCACAAAAATAGTTAATTATCATTGATACTCAGTCATCCACAAGCATAAATAGAAATAAAAATACTGGTTCATGCGCAAAAGAAAAAAAAATTCCATCCGGGTCACTGGTTGGTCTAAGTAGGCTAGGAATGTCTTAAAGGTGGGAAGGACCAGGTTCTTGGTTCTTGGCTTGAAGCAGTTTCAACATCTCCCGAAGAATGCCATCATTCTTCTCCTTCTCTTTTGCAAGCTCACCTCTAAGAGCATCTCTCTCAGAT